TTCTAAAGAAAGATAAATTATACAGAAAACAGGGAAAATACCTTTAAAAAAGAAGCGAAAAATAATTTTATTATAAATTTCAGTGTTAAATATTTTCTGGGAACAGTACGTATATCCTGGATATCTGTCAAAATAAATGTTCCCGTGTATTTTTATCACTTCACACTTGAAATAATTCATTTTTCATCAAGAAATTTTGAAATCAATCATATCGAAATATCATCAAAGAAAATAACAGAAACAGCACAGATTCTGGAGGAAAAATACACGATGATTAAAATTAATGCGACATTTCCTTACATATCCGCCATTTTGAAAAATCCCGAAAAAATCACTTTTTTAAATCGATGTTTGACGGAATTTGCTCTAAAATTAAACTGTTTTAAGTAGAATATTTCGCCAGATATATGTTTTAATATTCTGAATCGATTTGCAAAGTATTACTTTTATTTACGGAATTTGAAGTACAAGTAGACATGGGGTCGCTAGATTTTAACATTGAGTCAACGGGGAAATAACGAGAAAAAGTACGATTATTACGAATCTCCAGGGACGTAATTTATTCAAAAATTAAACAGTCACAACCAACATTTTTAGATATAATTATGTTCGAATACCAAGGATTGATTTGCAAAAGTTAAAAAACAAGTTGATGAGAAAATTGAACTTTATTGAGGCACCTATGCAATTAAATGGGGCAAAATAATTCAAAATGGCGGATCGCTATACGTCACCAAAGTCACGTAATGACTTACTTAGTTGGATATGGTTTCGCGCAGGCTCGTTGCCGCTTGCCATGGAGACCGGGCGTTACACAAGGCCGCCTACTCCGCTTGAACATAGACTTTGTAGATACTGTGAACTAGGTGAAATAGAAACAGAAAAACACTTTCTAATGACATGTCCATTATATTCAGATTTTTTCTTGAATGCGTCAAATATATTGAAAATTTTAATAGTATGAGTTTAAATGATCAATTTGTTAATATCATGAACTGCTAAGAAATACAGCAATTTTTTTGTAAGAGTCTGCATAAATTCTGTCTAAGTAGAAAACTTTTCACATTTGACTAGTGATATAACATGATTAAGGTTAATCTGATTTTTGTTTTAATTTAAAGTTATAATTTTATACTGAAGTGAAGAATTGTTTTTTTTTAATTGATTGCAATATAATTAACTGTGATAGTTATAGTTTAGTTTAACATTATTTTATTTAATTTTAATTTTTATTTAATTTTTAATCATCTAAATTAATTTTTATTTATTTTTTTATTCAACAGATAACGTGATTGTAACTTAGTGTAAAATTTAATACAGATTTTTATAAGAATTTAGTGTAAATATAGAATTTTAAAAGTGTCTCATAAGTCAATTTTATGGCTGGATATTGATTGAATGTTTTTACTGACGATATATATATATTGTGTACTTTATTATGTCAATCAATATGCGACACTATAATTAAATGAATTTATCTTATCTTATCTTATCTTTATATGTGCTATAGCTAAGCATTTTGAAGTATCGGCTATTGTATTATTCCAATTAAAAAATAGCTAATAGTGAGATTAATATTATTAATAATATTTGTTACATTTAATATACATATAAAAGTAAAATCTTGAAGGGAAATTCTTATTGCTGTTCAATAAAGGAAATCAATTAGGTCTAAGTACCATTTTCAAGTTATCCGACTGCCACCCCCTACCCCCCCCCCCCCCTCCCCAACAGAAATAATTCATTCGGAATAAAAAGAAGAAATAAAGTATCAAAACGTTCAATAGAAATACGACATATGCATGATATTTTGCAACTGCCGCCGTCATAGTTATTATACTTTCATATCCACAATTTCCAAACTGTGGCAATTATTACATGTTTTATACTCCGTTTTATAATAAAATCAACGGCTGTGAATTACTTTAATTTGCGAATTCACATAAGTTTACTTTTTTAAACCGGATCAATGACCATAACTGGACACTTCATTGATGAGTTTATCCCAAAACACCTGTCTTTAGATGGACTGGTCTATGATAAGCGAACCAGTTAAATCCCGCCCGGTCAAGTGAAATAAATCAAGTAAAATAGCATGAGATTAAAAGTTTTGGCAATTTGTGTAGGATTTTAATTTTAGAAAGTAATGACCAAGTAAGAAGATCGTCACAAACCTTAAGTGAATCGGAAAATGAGCTATGCACGATAAAAGGAAATAGTTTGGTGAGTCGATATGAAATTTTGTAAAATTGCATCAAGTCTTTCAATAACAACCGTTTGTAGAACTGATTATTTTGATTCTTCAAATATGTATAAAACAATTAATATTTATATTATTTAGTCTCTTTCATATATACAATTGCAGTATGTTTATAAATACTGTAGATTTGTATTTGATCATTGATTGCATGCATAACGTCCAGTGACAAGTATTTTATGTATTCGTACAAAGAACAAATCAACTTTTAAAATACAATTGATTGGCTATTTCAGGTGATTCGATCTTTATGATTTGCGTTAAAGTTTGTGAAACTTGGACAGAAGCTTACCTCTGAAATAAAGAAATATAAAAAAAGGGAAGAGTTATTTTTTTCATTCTGTATTTTACTCATACATGGACTTTAGCACTTTTTACCGTCAAAATAACAGTTTTATCACCGACATCAGTAATCGCAAGTGACGCAAGTTCGATAAAAGTCTTCACGAGTTTTTATATGTTCCTGGCAATCTTCGGTTTATATCAGACTGTGACATTGAGGGGAACAAATACCATGGATGTCTTGTCTTTTTTAAATCATGACATTTAAATCTTTGTTTTGTAAGAGTTACAAACTACATAGGTTTTTCGTCTTCTACATTTAGATATAAAACGTGTATCTCATATAAAACCTCACTTATAGAACATTATATATAATTTATTGTGTCAAGGAAATATTTGGAACAAAGAAATATTTGGTGAAGGAGGAGAAGGAAAGAGAGAGAGATTTCGCGGTATTTGGTCTCATGTTACTCATGTCAAAATGTGATGGAAGGAAATGTTTCCCCTTCGTTTTATATAGCAGGGTATTCCATTGTGTAATGATATTAGTTGCAGATTTTTTTCTATCGGTAAGAAATGATATACAATTTCGAAATCTACATAAAGTTATAGTACATGTAAAGTAAGTTTTTTTGCATTAATAAATGTTTCTCAATCAAGATAAAACGTTTACAACCAATATATTTTTACGACTAAATAAGGTGTATGTAAAATAGATGGTTCACGTTTCATTGAACTAAGGGTATAATTTGTTTCGGTTAGGTTTTTTTTAAGATTTTATAAGATATCCGTGTGGTTGTTTGGGATATACAAGTACACAACCAACCATCAATCAATACAATCTAATGATATATTTTTTTTATCCTGCATTTTTTTTTATATTAAATTATTTTAACTCAAAATAATAATTGAAATAACTTTCTGAAATAGAACTCTTATATATATCATACGCTCAACAAAACGATATACCATACGATAGATTAAACGCTAAACGATATCACATACCATACGATAAACAAAACGCTAAACGCTAAACGCTAAACCATACCATGTACCATACGATAAATAAAACGCTTAACGATACCATGAACCATACGATATACAAAACCCTAAACGATGACATTTACCATACGATGAACGAACGATGAACGAACGCTGACCGAACGTTGTACGAACGCTATACGAATGATGTACGAACGATGCTCGAACTCTATACGAACGATTCCCGAACGCTGTACGTACGATTCCCGAATGAAAAAAGTGTTAACTTTTACGTTACAGGGACTGTAGCTTTATACTGAAAATTGCCAACAAGTAATGTGTAAATACGAGTAAAATCGTATCTGACTGACAAAAAAAACATTGAAAAACAATGGATGCCATAAACCGGAAATGAAGACGATTACAATACCGGATCAGATTCCGGGGTCGGATAAGGGTAATTCCGGGTTTGCCGATCAAATACAATAAAAAAAATAATAATTCCAGGCAGGTGACAAAATACATCTATGATGATGATATATAAACACTATAATTGAAAACCAAAAGATTTATGGAAAAGAAAGAAAAAGCATGAAATATTTTATACAGAAACTCAAAATAACTTTTAGTTCACAAATTTTCATGTCAAAATCCTCCAATGAAATGTGACAGTAATTTTCTTTATCATTAATAAATGTTGATATTACCTGTATATGTTTTTATAGAGTATACATATATCTTCCAAGAGGTCATTTCTTCTCAATTTTGAACGGCCAGTAAAAATCTGGAAGTTTCTTACTTTATTTTTACAAAGGAACTAATATAATAATGCAACTAGATATGATACATTAGCTTTAAATTTGAACTGTTACTTTAATTGTATACTCGGGTATGGATTGAACAATATAAAAAAAAGAGATACAAATAGCCCTTTATATCATAGTAATAACCAAACATTGTAGCTCCTTGACCCTGTCCACCCCCTCTAAATTGTCCAGCAACTATAATGTTTAAATAACAATTCCTTTGGTTGTTATAAATTAGAATAAAATAAGTTAGATATATTCCAGTTGGTTCTTGTATTATTATGAAACGACTTCCTGTTGGTTGGTGTTAAGATACATGGTACATTCCTCTTGGTCATGGGGGTACTTAAAAATTGCCTTCCGACCCTAGTACCTCCTTTTTAATGGAATAGCCCTAAGGACTTAAAAAACTACTTGGAAAAAGAATTTAGTTTGTATATTTATTGATTTTTCCGGGGTAAACACATTTCATCGATAAAGAAAAATGTACTTTTGTGGATGCTTAATTTTATGGTATTGAGAAATTCTACATGTCAGCCATGAGAAATTTGCTTTTGTGGACAACCTTTTCCTGTTAATTCCACAAAATATAGAACCCCCCCCCCCCCCCAAATAATAAGGAATTCACAGAATATGCTGAAGCCTCTTGATGTAATATTTGTTTTATTTTTCAGCGTTTGTTACTAGGGAAAGATGGAGTAAACATCAGAAACATATCACAAGAAGCAAAACAAGGATTACTAAATACTTTTAGATGTGAACTTAATTTAAGACTGCAAATTAAACTTGCAAAGGCAGCTAGAAAGATAAAGGATAACTAAATGCATTTAGATGTGAACTTTATCTGAGACTGCAAATAAAAACTCGCCAAAAAGGCAGGAAGTAAAACAAGGGATACTTAATGTATTTAGATGTGAACTTAATCTCAAACAGCCTTAAAAAAAACCAACAATATTTGTAAATTAAGAGAGGAAGTTTAGTTTGTTCTTATATTGTGCTGTAACAACAATGTCCCATGCTACGAGGAGTGGTTGAGCACTCGCAATAAAGCCTGTGTCTGCCCAAAGTCAGGAGCTTGTAATTCATTGGTTGTCTGTCATATTAGATTTTTGTTTATTGTATTGTCATAGATCAGGCTGTTGATGTTTTAGTTGAATTGTGTCAAATTTTATCATGATGGGGCTTTTATAGCTGATTATACAGGTTGGGTTTTGCTCATTTTTGAAGACTGTATCATGACCTATAGTTGCTTCATTTTGGACTGTGTTTGATAGTTGGCACGTATACCACATTTCCTTCATCATATTGTAAATGGTCGCTTTTTTGGGGTATTTCTGTGTTCAAACAAAGGTATACTAATTGTCTAACTCCTCTAAGTATTGTTTATTAATTGCATTTTAAAAATTATATGACACTAAAGATGAATGTTTATAGAATGGCATAGGGTCATTTTCATTAACAAGTCCTACAATAAAGATTTGATTCTATATATAGGTTTCAAATGACGTAATATTAGTATGAGTTATTTCCCTTGGCCGCCATTTTGGCGGGATTGATGGTTGATATTCATGTTTGTCCAATCAAATTGAACATGCAATATACACAAGTTTGATTAGAGATCCTTACTAGTTCGTAGTGATAAAATAAGCAAGTCTAAAAGAAACAAAAAATTTTCAGAAAAACCTTTTTCTAACATCAGCGATCAGTATAACATGTTGAAATTGGTAGATCTATGAAGGAATTTGTACACTTAGACAACCAACATGGCGACAAGATGGAGAATTTCGCAACTGTTGCAGCTATTTCAGTCTTAAGGGAAGTTTAAGACATTTCTTAAAGTTTTTTGGATGCCATCATGATTTGGTTGACTGACATGGAATGTGTGTCACTTATGTCCAGGGATATGTTCTGAATGTTACAGCCACAGTGCAGTCATCTTTTCAATTGAGACACCTCTGAATTTAACACTTAACACTGAATTTGCTCTCTTTGAGCAACACGAAGTGTGCACATGTGGAGTTAGATCTTCTTTCACTTCCAGGGCGCCTTAGATCACCCCCAGTGTTAGGTGTGGTTCTCGTTGCTCAGTCTTCTGTTTTCTGTGTAATGTCTTAAAGACTCATGCTTGATTTAATGTTATTTATGCGTACAAATACTAAACCACTTGCTGATTTGATAGTTAGCTCATGAAGTGACTGATAGTCCATTAGCAGCAATACTTCAGGTTTGACACATGAATCTGGAAAATGAGGTCAAGGTAAGATGTCGGGCAGATATGTTTTCCTTGTAAACTGAAATGTCTAGCCTTATTTACTGATCATGATTGAATTGATGTTGAAGACATAGACTGATTGATTGATTTATGTGTTAAACATCACTTTCAGCACTTTTGGCTATATCGCAGCAGTCAGTTTTTATTGGGGGAGGAGGGCAGAGCCCCCAATGAAAACCACCGACCTGCTTCATCAATCAATACTAACATGCCTCCACGTTATAATTAATAGTGCTGAAGGTGGCGTTAAACACCAGCAATCAATTAATCAATCAATCAAGACTTGTACATCTGTCAATCAGTCCAAACCGCAAATTCAGTTGGCCCATTGCTTATAGTATTGGAAAACACACAAACACAAAATCTTAACATTGACCAATGAACTATGAAAATAAGGTTAGATTAGACAGACATGTACACCTTACAATCATTCCATACACCAAATATAATTGAGCAACTGCATAACGTATCTGAGACATAGACTTGACCATGAAAAATCAATCTTGATCACTGATTCATATTATAAAGTAGAGGTCAGGTGAACCCTGTCCTGTTGGCAAATTGACTGCAAGGATCCCATATACAAAATGTAGTTGTCTATTACTCATTATAAGTGAGAAATTCACATAACGAAAAAACATATATTTTTTTTAAGCAGTCACTTAACCTTTGAAAATGAATTCAAAGACAATGAACATATGACAGACAGAAACTGTGTAACATAATGCATCTGTATACAAGTATGAAGCCTCTAGGTCTTCTACTCCCATGACTCTCTGAAATACAAAGCAGTATACAAATAACATATATGCCGATGCTGGATTGTTATCCCCATGGCACAATATCAAAAATAACAGATTACTTAAAGAAACCGAAAATGGCCGAACCACATGAAATAAACCATGTTTTTGATGTTAAGGTCAGACGAACCATGTGAGACGGATACAATGTGTATCTTACAGTCATTTGATGAATTATATATACTTCACCTATTACTTAAAAGTACCTGAGATAATGATATGATAATAAACCAAAAGTTAACAACTTAACGTTGAATGAAGTCAGGTGGCCATTGTCTGGTGGAATTTACACCTTGCAATTATTTTATGTATAGACGATGCAAAATATAGTTGACTGTTTACTCATTATAATTAAGAAAAATCATGCTCAAAAGCATTACAAGATATGGATTATTTCTACCTTTTGAAGTATAATGCTTTAGGGGACGACCATTTAACATGTAGGGGGAGAGGGGGCCAGAAGGTTTTTCTGCGGATTAACTATTCATTATCACCTGTTGCTACGCATGCCTTTTTTCCACGTCTTCCCCACTAATTTTATTTTCACTTATAAACTGCACAACATCCACTAAGAAATCTGACAGAAAAAAAACTTGAACCAAGTTTATTGAGCTATTAGACATAGTTCTTATTTCAAAATTCATACCATACGATCTTGAAAACATAATCAACTTGATCAAGGTAACAAGATGCATCTATTGCCCAAGTTTTTAACATTGTGAAACAAACGTATCATGATAATTATTATACAACTAGCAATGTTTCTGGTCAATTAGCCTAAGCTGAATGATTGTCTTATAATCATAACATTGCTAAGTATAATAATCACATTGTATATTCATTCTTTCCCTTAGGCTAGGGGAATGTAAAGCCTAAGCCAGGAAGGTCAAATCATTTACCCTGTCTGACACCTAAATAACATATAATTTTATTTCTGTTTCTGTAATATGTGTACAATATTGATATGATGTTTTCTTCTAGCAATATCTACTGGTGTTATTCCTTGGCATTTAAGGTTAATGTCTGCTTTATGCTTTAACAACAGTTCAACAATCTCAGTATGACCTCTATAACAAGCCTGAAATAAAGGAGATTCTCCTGTTCTCATACATTTTGTAATGTCAGCCTTATTATTTACTAACATCTGTACTACTTCAGTATGTCCTTCCTGACAAGCAATGAACAGAGGTGATGCCCCTGTGTCTTTACACTTATTAATGTCAGCCGTATTGTTTATTAACATCTGTACTACTTCAGTATGTCCTTCCTGACAAGCAATGAACATGGGTGATGCTCCCTTAACTGTACACTTATTAATGTCAGCCTTATTGTTTATTAACATCTGTACAACTTCAGTATGTCCTTCCTCACAAGCAATTAACACAGGTGATGCTCCCTTATCTGTACACTTATTAATTTCAGCCTTATTGTTTATTAACATCTGTACTACTTCAGTATGTCCTTCCTGACAAGCAATGCACAGAGGTGATACTCCCTTATCTGTACACTTATTTATGTCGGCATTATTGTTTATTAACATCTGTACTGCTTTAGGTCGTCTTTTCTCACAAGCAATGAACAGAGGTGATGCTCCCTTATATGTACACTTATTAATGTTAGCATTATTGTTTATTAGCATCTGTACTACTTCAATATGTCCTTCCTGACAAGCAATGCACAGAGGTGATACTCCCTTATCTGTACACTTATCAATGTCAGCCTTATTGTTTATTAACACCTGTACTACTTCAGTATGTCCTTCCTGACAAGCAATGCATAGAGGTGATACTCCCTTATCTGTACACTTATTAATGTCAGCATTATTGTTTATTAACATCTGTACTACTTCAATATGTCCTTCCTGACAAGTAATGCACAGGGGTGATACTCCCTTATCTGTATACTTATTAATGTCAGCATTATTGTTTATTAACATCTGTACTACTTTAGGTCGTCTTTTCTCACAAGCAATGAACAGAGGTGATGCTCCCTTATATGTACACTTATTAATGTTAGCCTTATTTTTTATTAACATTTGTACTACTTCAATATGTCCTTCCTGACAAGCAATGAACAGATGTGATGTTCCCTTATCTGTACACTTATTAATATCAGCCGTATTGTTTATTAACATCTGAACTACTTCAGTATGTCCTTCCTGGCAAGCAATGCACAGAGGTGATACTCCTTTATCTGTACACTTATTAATGTCAGCATTATTGTTTATTAACATCTGTACTACTTTAGGTCGTCTTTTCTCACAAGCAATGAACAGAGGTGATGCTCCCTTATCTGTACACTTATTAATGTTAGCCTTATTGTTCATTAACATTTGTACTACTTCAATATGTCCTTCCTGACAAGCAATGTACAGAGGTGATGCTCCATCATCACGACATTGGTCAACATTAGTGATACAATGATATAAGCACCATTTAACCAGATAAATATCTCCATCATAACAACACTGTATTAATGGAGTGCTTTTGTTTTTTGTGTTGTCTAGACTAGCCAATTTTTTCTGCTGTGATATTTCTAATCCTTTTATATGTACAAGGAATCTTTGTCTGAAGATTTGATCGTGCATATTGATGTTACAGAAGACATCTACTACCTTTCCTCTTAACCAGTCATTTATCAACCTCTCCATGTACATGTTCTGATATTGCTCTGATACTGTTATTAAAAATTCATCCCTATTGGTTTTTCTTTCGAATACAAATCTTTCACGAATAAAAGGACTTGAAGCATTTTTAATTAAACAATTTATCATAACAATGCCAAAGTAAAATGCAAGAAAGTCAAACAGTTTGTCATGAATAGTTCTGTACACTTCACCATCCTTTCTGATAAATGTATGAGTTAGTGAATCCAGTTCATCACGTAAAACCAACCGAGATGTTCCTTTCAACACTTTACAAGCTTCATATGTGTTCTTTATAATTGTTTTGATATCTTCATCTACATCTTCTGTGAGCCATTCTTCTTTGAAACGATTGTTAAACATTACACATAGAGCAAGTGCACAGTATTTGACATGTGCGCCCTCTGTCTGTAATTTATCTATCTCTTCTTTGTAAACTGTAAATGGAGTCTGAAAGAAATCCACCATTTTCAGTTGTGTGTTTTTGCTGTATAATTGGCATAAAAGAGGAAAACAGTCAAACATGTCATAAAATTCCTCGATCTTAGAAGCCTTTGTTTTCAAGTAAAGTTCAGCAATAGATTGTTTTTCGGTTTTCGATAAACGTAGATCTTCAGACAATAGATTACATTCACAGGATTGATAAAATGATAAAGATTTCATTTTTTCATCTTTATAAACCTGTAGTCTACAAGACATAATTAATTTAACTAATTTCTTTTCTACTAATGTTTTGATTTTTCCCATCAGATTTTTCCAGCTTTCAAACTTCATAGGATTTATGGTATATGTTCCACAAAAGTCATCCACAACGAACAGGATTTTCTTACTTGGATCGTGCCATTGGATAATTTCTTCAGGGTTTGTTACCGGTACAATATCATAACCTTCTTGCATTCTAAAAGCAACATGACGCACCAATAATGATTTTCCTGTTCCCGAACTTCCAGTGGCAACAACACAACCATTGTCTTTGATACATTTTAATACACTCTTTGCTCCATTTGTTTCTATAAACGTTTTGTCATCTTCTCTCCAAGTTTCCAATTCCTCCTTAATTTGATCTAAAAATTAATGATTTGATAGTTCTTTTAAATATTTAAAGTTTTTTTCAGACTGACTACTGTGGCTTTGCCATACTGACCTGTCTGTACCTTGTAAAATTTACAAAATTTTTGTCTTGAGCTTACCTAATGAAAGTTATTCCTACGTAAAAGATATGATATGATTTCGATCCAGACAATATCTTTAAATAAAATTAACTTTGACAGGAATGCTCAAGAACTAAAATTTTGGAAAACTTAAAGTATTAGAGCTAAACAAGTGTTTTTTTCTTTATTAATTGGCATGTACAATTTGTTCTTGTATTGTTCTATTGCATCACTGATTCAGGGATAGGGAAAGAACGGGCGCTCACCAAAATGTTTAATCATGCCACATTCTGTATGTTCCTGTCCAAAGTCAGGAGCGTAATTCAGTAGTTGTTCTTTGTTACTGTATATCATACTTGTTTTTCGTTTATTGTCTGTACATAAGTCATGCAGCTGTTTTTTTTTGTCATTTGAGCTATTTTACATTCGGTATTGGTTTTTCTCATTGTTACAGACTGTGTAGGACCCTTAGTTGTAAACTTCTTATTCATTATGGTCTCCGGTGGATAGTTGTCTCATTGGCAATCATACCACAGCTCCTTATTTTTTAGATCCAAGCATCGGTCAGCTTGGCCAGAGCGAGTTGGTACTTAAGTTTTAGCAAATAACTACTATTCATCAACCAGAATTTAAGAAACAATCATGAACTGAACAAATGTCCCCGACATTATGCGTCTCTAGGGTACAAGAGTAAACAAATAGTAAGTCTTATAACTCCTGTAAAAATTGCCAATTCAAGTTGACAGTACAATGCGATCAACTAGACATGATGGCAGCAAATGCTACCAAGTATGAGATCTTTCAGCAAGATGGACTCAGAGGATTTACGTTCGAAGGCGTTATTGTCACAATACTAAAATAATTGCTCCACAGGGCGCTGCTTGATACAAACGCAAAGGTCGAACCCCGAATAGTTTGGGCAAGTATGGACACAACGTTCTCAGTTCTGAATTTGGATTATGATTAAATATTTGACACAGCATAGGTTTAATTCTTACACCAAATGAATGTGTTCTAAGAAATTTAAAAAATTGAAATTGGACATTTATCTGTTTTGGTCCAAAATCAAAAATCTTAATACATGGTAAGATTCGACATATCAGAGAAGACTAAGTATTCAATTTTTGACGAAAGCAAATACATTTAGATGTTGGACTCTTTGGACCACAGTTTAAACCAATTTGATAACGGGGCTTATAATCTAAAATCTAAACTGAGAGGGTTAAGCAATCACAAACATGTACACCCTGTCACATTCTATATATATATATGTGTCTCACCCATATCAGGAGGGAGCCTGTAGTTTAGTGGTTGTCGTTGGCTGCTGTCAGTCTGATTTGTTTTGTTTGTGTTTATTGTTTTGTTATAAATCAGATCATGTGTGTTCATTTTTAGATTGTTTTTCATTTTGTTATGTCGGGGTCTTATATAGCTGCTTTTAGAGGATGGGATTTGCTTATTGTTGAAAGCAGAACAGTGACCTATTATTGCTTAAATCCGAACTCTGAAAAATAGTTATATCTCATTGGCAATCAGACCACATCTCAGTATTCTATATCAATCACAAATAACTTAACTTTGACATATGAACCATGACATGAAGGTCAGATGAACCCTGCCTCACTGACATGTACTCTTCAAAATAAGGTCATATACATGACCAAATAAAGTTGACTTTTTGTTTACAGTATCTGAGAATGAAACTTAGGTCAAGGAAACGTAGTGTTGACCAATGACCCATGACAGTCAATGCACAACATACATGTTCATCTAACAACCATTGGATACCCCACATAGAGTTGACGTCTTCTTTTCACTTAATACATTTAACTCAACTATTTAAAGAAAAACACATCACAAACTTATGTTTGTTGACTAACTCCAGTACTGCATATAAGCCGTCGCTTTACAACATCATTTTTGTGGCGCTTAAATTCCTACGCCTACACTTACGGAGTATATATCTCCCAATTGATACGATATTCCCGGGCTTGTATTTCCTATCATAATTTCCTTGATAGAGGATTGCTGCTCACAAGGATGCTTTTAAACCAAGAGTTCCAAATGGTGAAGTTGAAATCATCCCTTCGTAAATTTTACGGACGCCATCACGAGTTGGTTGACCGTTATGGAATAACCGTTTCACAGATGATATCGGATGTATTCCTTATGTCGTAACTACAATACCCTTCCCTTTTCACGAATGTGACCTACCGAATTAGACTATTTACCGGATTTGTAATAACATAAGCAACACGACTGTGCCACATGTGGAGCAGGATCTGCTTACCCTTCTGGAGCACCTGAGATCACCCCCAGTTTTTGGTGGGGTTCGTGTTGCTTAGTCTTTAGTTTTCTACGTTGTGTCATCTGTACTATTATTTGTTTGTTTGTCTTTTTATTTTTGGCAATGGCGTTGTCAGTTTGTTTTCTATCTATGAGTTTGACTGTCCCTCTTGTATTTTTCGTCCCTCTTTTACATGTATTACAAATTGGCAAGAAGACAATTAATTCTCTTAATACTTATGTGCCTCAGGATTTTTTTTACTATTTGATTATAGTATCGGAGGAACTGACATAACAACAGAAACTTTATCTTGAAAACTAAACTATGAAAATATTGTCACAGTCAGATCATTGATCCCTGCAAGTCCAAAACCTACCACAAAACTTTCTTTCCATTTCCTAAAGGGGTTCTCCATTTTTCATCCAGATAACACAAAATTTGGAATTTTTCAAACAATCAACTCTGGACTGGTAAACGTGAAAACGACAAAAAAACGAATATCATCTGTCTCTTGTGGTTCAAAACATTCCATAACAATGCTGATCAATTTGAAAACGGGTTCTCAATCTATTATCAAAGCATTGATGACAATACCCCTAATTTCTAGTTTTAGCAATGTCAGTCATGTTGGAGAGAGGATCATCAGACACAATTTTTAAACTGGATGATAGTTATAGCAAAGATTGGTTCCAACTGTCCCAGTTGTAAATTTCAGAGAAGAATGTTTTAAACGTTAACGGAAAACGAAAACAGACAACAGGCAACCACAACTGACACCAAATGACAGGAATAGCTTTCTTGATGCTTCAGGTCAGGTGAGTTCAATAGCATGACAATACAAGAAATACATAATTATAAAATTTTAAATACATATATATATATATATACAAATCGTCTAAACATCAGCCCAACAATGTTAGATCTGTAAATTTGCTTTCGCAAATTTTTGTTCTTCCCTCGCCGGGATATATATATTATATGCAACGTTTACGACCAGCGTTACCAACAACAACGTCTTAGTTTTGAAAAGTCCCTTCAGATGGATGAAAGCCATTTTCTATTGTTTTATTCATAAATATATAATTCTGTGCATGTGAAATTTTTTTTTACCTAAATATTTATATATATATATATCTCTACCTTCTTCACAAAAACTCTACTTCTTAGGTTTTAATGAGTATGACATACCTCTGATGTTCAATGGAATTGGGTTATTCACAGCAAGTCTAAGTTCTTCCATCTCTTTCTGTAATTGTTTGATTTCCAGCATAATTTCCTGATTTGACTGATCTAAGCTCTTCACCTTTAACTCTTGGCACTCTTGGTTCATTGGCTGACCACCCAATCTACTTACAGCCTACAAATAAATATTTGAATAAAAACATTATAAACAATCAAAATGCCAATAGCCAAAGTCAACAGCAGTGTTTCAGCTAGGCCGTTTTCAAAGGGCTCGGCGCCCGCCCTTTTTAGAGTGGCGCCCTGTGCAGTTACAGTACCTGACATACTAGGAACTATACCATCTGGTTTGACTAATCCAGTGTAATTAGTTACGTAATGTTCTCACGTTTCGATCACAGTGTCAAAACTACCCAGGAAAATATATTGAACTCAATGTTGTCTAATTTCCAGGACGGTCAAGGTCCATCAAAACACAGGTAAAAGGTAAGCTATCTGTTAACTTGCATGCAATTGTAGAATATAAGTACACATACATGTACATGTATTACTATTATCTATTGTGAGATATAAATTTTGATTCTACCACTGCAACAAGGTCCGTGTAACACTTATCAATTCGAAATTTTAAAAAGTTTTCAAATTTTAGTTTTTTGGATTTTTAATCAAAGTTTTAAAATATCAAAATTCCAATTTTTCTATTTTTTTTTGAAATTTAGAAAATTTGACCAAATTATTAAAATTCGAAAATTCTAAAATTCGTTTCAAAATTTAATAGTTTAGATATTTATTCAAACTTTAAAAAAAACTAAACATAACGCAATTTTGATCATTTCACTTCATGAAAGTTTGAATTTTTCAATGTTCGATTGAATATAGGAAAGGGGAAAGGACTAAAAAGTGGATACCTGTTACAAGTGCGAAACGGAATAAGAACGGAACCAAAGGAAATGAAATGAACTTTACTAAAACAAATCAAAACAAAAACAATATTTTCTGAAACACTAAGAATAATATAAAACAGGAGGCTAACTTGTTTTATCTTCTGGGTGAAAATGAGAAATATGTTTCTTTAAGTTGAAAAATTAATTAGTAAGACCTGATTTTGACACACCTTGCTTCTCTAACTAAATGAACAATATGCAAAAATTACTTGTCAACTTTGTGATTACTGCTCTTAATGTGGTTATTTGTAGTATATGTATGGATACCTCCACGAGGGACTTCAATAATGGTACATTTTTTAGGGGCGGATCCAGGAATTTGAAAAGGTGGGGCCTATTTAGCCAACGTTTGGACTTATGCTTGTAAAAAATATGTATTTATCAAATATGTGGCTCCATTAAGGGTGGGCGGGCCCTCTGTACCCTAAATCTACATCTGTTCTTAAATAGCGAATAAAAGGAAACGGGATATTTGATTTTTGTATTAAAGGATAGTTCCGTACTAGTATTTGTTAATTGCGCATTTGTAGGTTATCGTTAGACAATCAATTTTGAGCAAAGTACAAGTACGCAGCTACGTCCAGTCAGAATAGGTCGTGTAGAGAAGGTGCCACGCTCTCCGCACGTAAAGAACCCCTGCAACAACTCGTTGGTTGCCTGTTGCTAGGCAATATTTCTGTTCCTATCCAATATACCCTAATTTTCAAGTGTCGATCTAAATTTTGCAGAACGGACTCCATTACAGCACCTACCTATCGTATTTATTGTTAATTTGTTATCGTACTGAACATGCATGCAATATTTGCAACTGGACGTTAACCAACCAATAAGCAATCATTTAAAATAGGCCGTTTATATATAAATTGTAAAGAAACTTAGGTTTCAACTCCCTCAGGCAAAGTTGACCTGTTAGATTGATTTTGCTATTTTTTTCAATGTCCCTTTTGGCCATACACCTTTTCAATGGTTTCAGTTCTTATATATACTTGGCTTTCAAGTATTCAGCTTTGAGTGTTCCAGATGTACGTAAATACAGAAAAGCGACTAGGATGTATGTAGTCAAGTGTTGTTTCTATTTTTTAATGGATATTCCATTCACTTCAAATGTTATTGCCAATGAGAAATAGTACATGGGCGGATTAAGGTTTTTGTTACTGTGATTTTATTTTTTGCGGGGTGTTCTCTTTTAGTGGAATATTTGTGTTTATATTAAATTTTTCTTATTTTCACTGCTATTCCTTAGTTTCTTACACTTTTTTTTAAACTCAGGAGTTCGCCACTTTAATATATAGCAATCATAAAATATTATTGACTATAAAAACAAAGGTAGAATTAGATGGAATTGAAAAAATTATGAGTTCCCTGTTCTCGGTTCTAAAGACCGTTTTAAAAAGCACCCACAGAATTCCTATACATCATAATACTGCAAGGTTATTGTAAAATATTGTCAGTACAGAAAATTAACATTACATCGAAAAAGGTTAAGTTTGATCAATATTGTAATACGTTTGTGACTTCATGGGAATATTTAACCCATTTCTCTGACGTCAGTCTATTGTTCTTACAGTAGATTATTTTTCAAGAATCCACTGACCACTTCGTTGACTTAAGATAACTTATTTTACAACTTTAAACTTTTAACTTACGATTTATTATCCTCTCAAAAAAGAGTGGCATATGAAGGGTTCGAACTCGCGCGTATTTTTTTCATAATCAGTAGTCTTCAGTCTATGCATGATACCACTATACCACGAGTGCTGACATAAATCAATATTTAAATAACACTCTTAAAGCGCATAACTGTCAATACATGTCAATAAACTGTATTTCTATCTCAGAGATAATTTCGCTTTTGTTATCTAATAAAATATATATACTATGCCTGGATTTGTTCATGCTTTTTTCAAATTTATTCAAATTGTTTTATTTTGGGCGTTATTTTTTAAGGAAGATTATATTCTTCATTTGAACGTTCTTGAGTATAGTTATATAGCAGTATGGAAATATCTTAAGAGTTTATTCACGATGTCAGGTTTGAACATTGGTCGATTTTCAACATTGTTATAATGAACCGATGGGTCTTTATACGATTGTGGCTATTACACACTAGTTCTAAACACTAGAGAATCAAGGAATTGTATACATTAGTACAATTCCTTGATAAAATAAACATCCATATGCCCATTACACTTGTCACTTTTAACATACAAGGACTTTTCCTTTACATCATAGCAAATGCTTACTTATGGTTTTAGTCTTATAATGATATCGTACTATCAATAATTTTTTCTTTGTTTGATTATAAATGGTCTAAATATACATCACATCAACATTGAACGGACTCTAATTTGAATAAAGTGTGATATATAAGCCACGACCGTAAAACTACTTTGACAGTAAAACCAGAAACAAAATCATCGCCTTTAAATGAAAATGCAGTATATAATACCTCTAAGATTGAAACAATATTTTTGTCGAGAAAAAAATTACAATGAAAAAATTTCAATTCGGGTACAAGGTTTGAACTTGGCACTTTTAATATCACAGATATGTCTTTCGGTACCAACGACTAGACGATCACGGCTATGGACAGCTTGAATGTTAAAGTAAAACATTGACATAATTATACATTTTACATCTGTAGCAAGAGCAATTCTGCTGGAGATTCAGAATGCATACCACAAATAATACTAGTTTATTGACTGGTTTACGATGGATGCCAAATGTAATAACGTTAAAATAATCTAAACTTAATGAAAGGGAAACAGTATAAACAAAATTCATGTATAATTGTTCAAAAAAGATCTTAAGCAATTATTTTATTTATTTCGGAAAGCATAGTTAACTGGAGCATCATGAAATTGTAGTCATATCCAACTAAGTAAGACATCACGTGACTTTAGTGACGTATGATGAGCGGCCATTTTGAATTATTTTGTCCCATTAAACTGCATAGGTGCTTCAATAAAGTTCAATTTTCTCATAAACTTGACCCGTTTTTTAACTCTTACAAATCAATCCTTGGTATTCGAACATAATTCTATCTTATAATGTTGGTTCTGACAGTTTAATTTTTGATTAAATTAGGTCTCTGGAGATTCGTAAAAATCGTACTTTTTCTCGTTATTTCTCCGTTGACTTAATGTTAAAATCTAGTGATCCCATGTCTACTTGTACTTCAAATTCACAAATTCGGTAAATAAAAGTAACACTTTGCAAATCGATTCAGAATATTACAACATATATCTTGCGAAATATTCTACTTAAAACAGTTTAATTTTAGAGCAAATTCGGTCTTTCATCGATTTAAAAAAATGGATTTTTCGGGATTTTTCAAAATGGCGGAAGATGGAAATGTTGCATCAAATCAAGGATTTGTATAGTAAGACTTTCCTTGATTAAATTAAATTTTTCATGCAGAATCTCTGATATTTCTGTTATTTTCCTTGGTGATATTTCGATATGATTGATTTCAAAATTTCTTGATAAAAAAATTATTATTCAAGTGTGACACGGGAACATTTATTTTGACAGATATCCAGGATATACTGTCCCAGAAAATAGTTAACAATAAAATTTATAATACAATTTTTCGCCTCTTTTTTTTAAGGTGTTTTTCCTGTTTTCTGTATAATTTATCTTTCTTTAGAAATATATTTATACATTCCTTTTAGAACAAAAAAATGTTTTCGTCCCAAGAGAAAAAAAAACCCAATGCCCAACAATTATTATAGATAAATATTCTATACCTTTAAAATCTTATGTCCCTTGACGAACAGGTGAACTCTGACTTGGGTTATAATGTTACATAACAATATATTGTCAGGTAGACGTGCAAACCAAAAGCAACCAGGTGACATTAACATCCTGTGTATACATGTATTACCAGAGTTTAAATTTTGTGATATACAAAAGTTTTCATAAATGTACAAATAAATATCTTCTCTTCCCCGTGTCAAATCAGAAGAAGTATGTATCATAATAAACTTTAAGAAAATATGAATATTATGAAAATTTATTTAAAAAAATAATTCTTGCTAAAAAAGATAATCAAATATTTATGTTTCCATAATTATTTTAAAGAAATATTCTAATTCAAATTTTAATTTAGATGGATTTTTTTTTTATTTCATAGAAAATTAAACGAGATTTTATTGCATATGATTTTATTATTTATTTTTTTAATTCAATATTTTAAGCAAAATCCAGGCATTCAATAAATCGATATTGAAAG